AGCAGTTGGCGTAATGGCTATGTCGCTAGACTCCCATGTAGTCGACCACAGTTCGAGCCCTGGACATGGTGGCTTAAACTCATGCCTGGTGTGTGTGCGTGTGTGACCAAGGTCCTGAGAGGAGAGCAGAGGAGAAGGGATTTTGGCATGGCCATCCCCCCTGGGGGGTGATTTCTCGCTTTCTGTCTCTCTGGCGAGCGCATAGGCCCTATAGCAAAAACCTCTTTAAAAAGAAAAAAAAGGAAGAAAATAGAAAACCTGTAGGTTCAGGACCAGTGGGTGGTGTGGTGGTTAAGCCACAGAGCCGACTCTTTGGTTCAAGTCCTGGACCGAGCAGCCTGAAAACCATGCCCAGCATGTGTACATGTGCGACCAAATCATTTTTCTTAAAAAAAGAATGATTCTATTTAACTTTATTTATTATTATTTGTTTTATCTTGACCTGAGAAAGAGACAGAGAGAAAGCAAGAAAGCAAGCAGCCAAGTCTGAGATTTGAACGGCGTTCAGCCATGTGAGAGTCCAGCGTCTTTAACCACTATGCCACGAGTTGGCCCCCCAAAATCTAAAGTATCTTTATTTTTTTCCCCTTTTTAAAAAAGAGCCAGGGTCTCACCATGTTGCCCAGGCAACACCCCCTCACTTCCTATTCCCTTGCCTCAGCCTCCAGAGTGGCTGGACTCTGACTACTGGCAGTGCCACTATGCCTTGCTTTCATGCATTTAACGTTCTAATACTATTTTTTTTTTTTTTTCCAATTTGCTATAGTGCACATGCCCTCACTGGAGACAGGCAGAGAGCGAGAGAGACAGAGAAAGTGAGAAAGCGTCTTCCAGGGAGGATACCCATGCCACAGTCTTTTCTCGTCTCATCTCCTTTTGGGATTTTGGGCACACACACACAAGTGTCCAGTGTGTTTCTCAAGCCATGGGGTCCAGGATTCAAATGGTGGTTGGCCATGTGGGATCCTGCAGTCTTAACCACCATACCTCCTGGCTGGCCTTAATTTTTAAAAATTTATTTATTTAATTTTATTCATTCATTTTAATTTGGCCAGAGAGAGAGAGACACATAGAGAGAGAAGGGGAAAGTGAGAAAGCTAGCCACCCGATCTGGGACTCAAACTGTGGTCGGCCACGTGGGAGTGTCCAATGCTTCAATCACCACGCCGCTCATTGGCCCCAGGCCTTAAATTTTAATGTAGTCTGAAGACCTAAATATGAAGAACCTAAATTTTATCCCAAACCTTGGAGAGAATTTAGATGTAATTATTCTCAATATCTTCTTCTCAAAGTAGAACAATGCTTTCTAAAGAGAGCTTTTTCTTGCTATAGGGCGCATATGCTCGCCAGAAAGACTGAGGGAAACAGAGAGACGAAAAGTGAGAAATCACCCCCTGGGGGAGGTGGCCACACCGCAATCCCTTCTCCTCCATTCTCCTCTTGGGATCTTGGGCACACATGCACACACGCCCAGTGTGAGTTTAAGCCACTGGGTCTGGGACTTGAACCTCAGGCAACTACATGGGAGTCCAGCGACATAGCCATTATGCCAACTGCTGGTCCCAAGAAAGCATTAAAAAAAATACTTTTAAAACCAGATTATATTGAGACAAGTCAATAATTTCTATATCCTTCTGTTTTATTTAAGAAAGTAATTAGGATATGGCAGCTGAAGAAATGGTGGATGATATTAAAAGCAAATAAGTATATTACTGTTGAAACAAAGGAAATGACTTAACCCCATCTTTCAATGAAATTTTATGAAAATATACGTAGGAGGCATAAATTGCATGGCCATCCAATTAATTTGTTTTCTAAGCTCAAATTTGGTGTAAAATGAGATATTCTAGGACCAGCAGGTGGTATTGCGGTTGGAGCGTTGGACTCCCACATGGCCGACTTTGGTTCGAGAACCAGACCTGGCAGCTTGCTTTCTCACTCCTTCTCTTTCTCTGTCTATCTCTCTGGTGAACGCAGCATACCCTATACCAAATTAATAATAACTATAATGAATAAAATTGAGTAAATAGTTCTTTAAAAAAATGAAATAAAATGAGATGTTTCTTCAACTGGTTCAATTAACAGACTGTAAAGGGATTACATATAGAGAACACAGGAAATAAGGGAATGTTGGAGCAAATAACCAACATAATAGTAATTCTATTATCTGTTGCTTGTGATGCTTCTACAAAGTTTTTTTTTTTTTAAAGTTTGTTATAGGGCAGGGCTAGGTGGCATGGTGGTTAAGGTGCTGGACACTCCCACATGGCTGACCACAGTTCAAGTCCTGGACCTGGTGGTTTGTTGTCTTTCTCCCCCAACCCTCTCCCCATTTCTCTGGTCAAATTAAAATGAATGAATACATAAAATTAAATAATTAATTCTTTTTTAAAAAGCTTGTTATAGGTGTATTAGACTTGCTGAAGAGAGAAAGTTAGAGAAAGTGAGAAACCTCCCTCCATCCCAGGGAGATGGCCACATTATCATCTTTTTTTCACTCTCCTCACAGGATTTTGGGTACATACACAAATGCCGGGCACGGTTTTCAAGCTGGAAGTCTGGAATTTCCACCCTGCAGGCGGCCATGTGAGATTTAGCGAACTTAACCACCAGCCACCTGGCTGGCCCTTCAACTTCCAGAAGAATTGGCTCTTGCTGGAGTGATGCCAGGCTCGTCTGGCTCATACCTGCAAACTTTTCTCCATCCTAAAGTCTGTAACAAATCCATCTCCAAGGCCTGTTGAGTCATTGGTGGAAGTGTTTCTCAAAACTGACCCTTTTGGGAGACCAGCGGGTGGCATGGTGGCTAAGGCGAGGTGCTGTACACGCCCACATGGTCGACCACAGTTTGAATCCAGGACCCAGTGGCTGCTTTCTCACTTCCTCTCTCTCTCTCTGGTCAAATTAAAATAAAGGAAAGAATAAATAAAATAGAGTATGGTTCTCATTCCTTAGAAAAATACACAGGGTAAAAATACCTTTCTGAGGTAAAGCTTTCACCAAGACACTTCTGTTATCAAAACCTTCAGGGCTTCCATTACTTACAGGATGAAATCTAAAGATTGCAGTTGAGATCTTTATTGTTTCTGACAGACAAATGTATTCACTTTTTTTTTTTTTAAACAGAATTTAATGCCTCACTCTAAGATCTTGATACGTGGGATGCTTTGCTCTATCTGCTAAGCCATGGCCATCATCTCCTTCAACTGTCTTGAAACACTTTCTTAAAGATGTTTTCTTGTTTAGTAGCTACTTAGCAAATAAACTTATTCCTGTTTTTCAGTTCTCAATCACATTAAGTGCTTTTAGGATAAATGATCAAGTCTAGGGATAAACAATCTACAGAGACTTTCATTCTTCAAGAAACCACCCAGAGTGATATTAATCTGAGAGAGCACTTCACATTTCTGGGTTGCTTGCCTTTTCACTGGGTAGGAATGCACAAGAGAATCCGAGCAAAAGGACTCTTTATGGTGACCTCTAGCGGGCACACGACGACCTTACAAAATTATGAAAAGTGGAGGGCAAAGTAAAAGCTTTCCCAGTACCCAGCCGTGCTTCTCTGTGGTCAGATGACTGCATCCTACCCCACCCTTATTTTTCCATGAGGCGTTGTGCTGCACCTAGCAGTTTGCCTTACAACTCACCTGTTCCGCGGGTGTCGATGTCGCATGAATTGCAGATAGCAGTTTTAAATAATCCCTGCTAAGTGACCCATTCCCTGGACAACGAACGACCAGAGTGCTGGGTAGTTGAAGCCGGGAGCGGGTTCTTCACGCTCCTAGAGCCGGCGCTACAGCCCGGTCGGAGGTGCATGGGGGAAACTGAGGCATTATGAAAACGATGCATAAGTCAACGAGAAATTCGGGTTTTGCCAATGGTGAGGCGGTTCTCCCCAGACTTTCACCGCACTCTACCGGAGGCATTACGGGGGTAAGGGGGGGTCCAGGCGCGCAGCATGTTGGCACCTTCTCAGGACCCCGCGCCCCAGAAAGCGGGGAGGAGCCGGGACTCCACTTCGCTGTGGGCAGGCGGGAGGGAGCACCGAGGCTGGGGGCTGGGATGTGGCCGCCTTCGGAGCACGCGGTACGTGGGTCGCCGGGTGCGGGGAGAAGAGCAAAGTCGCCTGGAAAGGCAGTGCCTGGGGTGCCTTCTCTGAGAAATCCTCCCGGGCGATCTCAGAAACCGCGCTGGGTTCCAGATAGTTTCTGGAAAAACCTCTCCAAACGCCGTCTGTCTCCGCCCCTGAAACCCCGCAGCCCAGTCCTCACATCTGCGCCTCTCGTCACCCTCCAGTCGCCTCCGTTTGGGGGCTGTTAAAAGGGTCCTGTGGGGCTGCCCAAGTCATCTCGATGGCCCGGGGTGGCACGCCGGAGCAGACACCCGGGCCTCGGGGCTTGGCTCCCCGCTCCACCCGGGGCTCCCCTTTCTCACATCCCCGCCCTGCGGACCCCTCCCGGCCACTGCCGGAGCGAGCGGAGGGGGAGGACGGCGTCACGAGGCGGGG